AGTAGAGTAGAGTAGAGTAGAGTAGAGTAGAGTAGAGTAGAGTAGAGTAGAGTAGAGTAGAATAGAATTATTTATTGGCCAAGTGTGATTGGACACCCAAGGAATTTCTTTGGTGCAGATGCTCTCAGTGTACATAAAATACATTCATCAAGAATAAAAAGACGCACACTTAACAAGGCAATCCTTCATGCAACCCATGTAAAAACCAGACAGGCATTGATAGGATGATCACAAGTGCCCTTGTGGCCTCCCCACCCCCTTCCCAAGTGTCCCCAGAGGTTTGTGTAAAAAAACACAACACAACACCACACAGTCTCTTTTATCCCTTTCTTTAATTAAAAATATACCAAAAAAGGAAAAAAGAAAGCATCCAATTGTGAAGGGAGAAGCTAAAAAGAGAAACGAAAACACGCAGGATATATATATACATATATTTACAGCATGTCTGCACCAATAAACGGAAGTGATGATTCATTACAGACATTCACAGCTAATCTATATTAATCAATCCTGCAAACCACACAATACTTCCAAACATATGTTTGTCTTGCCAATGCTGAACAACACACTCAAATCTCTCACAGCTATAAATGTGTTTCAGTTGTGCAGATGTGAGCTTCCACTTGCGAGGGGCAAGTTTCCCAAGAATCTAAACGTTTGAAAATATTAAATCTTAAAAGCTGTGTTGCCGTCTGTGGATTCCTTCAGCCACAAATAGAACGATATATATTGAAATAAGCATTATTTTTACCGAAGGTCTAACAACACGAAGGCCTCAACAACAATATTATTTCTGGTTGAAATAGATGTAACCTTTTTTTAAAAAAAATCTAATTGGATGTTTGGCTTTAAAAAAAAAAACTTTTTTATTGGTTAAGTAAAAGCGGCAAACAAAAAATGGTTGCAATTTTTAATTTTTGTTCACAGAGTCTTGAGATAGGAGCTATACAATTTGAATTAATAAATAAAAAGATACCTTTAAAGGATTTAGAAGAAAAAGAAAAGATTTCAAAACTATTGTAAGATGGCATTCTGATTCTATACCCTTCCCTTTTTCCTCCAGCCGTTCAACTGATTGTTGGTTAAATATTTTTATACTTTAGACATATTATTTTTTTGCACCGTTTTAATTACTATACACAGTTTCTTTTTCATCATAAACCACAGTTTAGCTAGCCTTACTGCGTGATGCATTGCACAGAAGGAAACCACCCCTGTGTGAATTTGGTTAGACTTCTGCTGTAAATATATTTGATCAGTTTTTCCATTGCTGTATATGCTTTCATTTTAATCTTACGGATGGTTTTCCTAACACCAATGTTGTGTCAATGGGATTCTTGCTGCTGTCAGCTAACACCTTATTATGGTTTTCATTTATATCCCTTGGGGTCAGGCCTAATAAAGATATCCCTGGTTTTCATTCAAATTTCACCTTTGGAATTTCCTGAATGTTAAGGTGTATTTCCTTTTCGACTTCTTCTGAGTATTTCTTTTTAATTTTTCCCTTCCTGGACTGAATCTCTTTTCCTTCCTAATCTTAGGAGCCGGATCAGGTCTATGAAGGGATCACATTTGATGATTTCCTGAAGGTGAGAAAATCGTTTTGTTTTTTTTTCATTTTTATTGGCTTAAATAAAAAGACGAGGTTAAGAGTCCTTCCCGTAGGGCCATCTCTCTACTCAACCTCAAACCTCCTGCAATTCCTCCCTCCCCCCAAAAAATAATTCATTTCCAAATTCACAGAAATAAATCTCCAGTAATGGTTTTTCAAACACAAAGTCCCCCAAATATTCAGCGTACTGGAGAGAGGGTGGTTTAGGGTTAGTAGTTCTTCAAACATCGGTTAACCATCTTGTAAAAACTGCTATATGGGTAAGGTTGGAAGAAATATCCATCTTGTTTAGTTCTGAGTGGGGAGAAAGACACCGGAAACATGGAGATCGATTGGAAAGATGGTTTATTGATGGACAGGACCACTTAGGTTTGAGGTCCTGGGTAGCTGACCACATGGAGGAGAGAGAGGGGGTATTTATACCCTCCCTTGGGCCTTGCCCTTCAGCTTCCTGTTCCTCTGGCAAGGACATGTATTCTATTGGTTGTCAGACTCCCGTGGGGGCTATGCAGGAGTCATAGCTAACTTTTTAGGCTGTCTGAATTAAGTTTGATTGAAGCACGGACTCTCTGAGGTGTTTCCTTTCAGATTTCTATTTCTCTTTTAGGGGAAATATAATATTCTGCCCTTTTTAAATATTGCTCAAAGCCTTTCATTCTAGGAGAGGGGCGGGGGCTAACTTTCTACAGTAGAGTTTCTCTTTCTACAAATTTTACAAGGGTGGTAGGGATAAGTTAATTGGCCAAAGGAATGCGGAGAAGAGCCCTCCTTAAGGGAGATGGGCAAAAGGTTCAGAGCAGAAGACTTTGGGCACCACAAACAGTACCAAGGGAAGGTAGGGAAGTCCACACATCAGCTTTGGGGTGAATCCCTCTTTCCATCAGCTATTTTTGGGGTGTGGGGGAAAGTCTAAGACCAAGTCAACTATGGGTTGAGTTCTGGAATACAACGTTTGCTCCTTAAGATTGAAGGATTGGAGATTGTCTTCTCTTCCACTAACTCTGGGGGTGTTTTTTCTTCTTCTCCCCTTTCATTGCCAGATATGGGAAGGCATCGACATAGAGACCAAAATGCATGTCCGCTTCCTCACGCTGGAACCCATGGCTCTCTGCTACTGACGGCGGCGGAGTAGCTGCAACCGGCTGGTGGGAGGCTTTGTAGGAGATGGCCGGGAGCTTGTTTGGGTGGAGTAGGGCCACGTGTCTGATGGAGCAGCGGCCACAGATCCACGAAGTTCAGACCAGCCACATGGATTCCCCATCTTCAGTGGAAGACCAACTTCCTGGCCTCCAGTAAAAGGACCTTTGTTCTGATGCAACGTTGTAGTGCTTGATGTATTTGTGCAGTTATGTTTTACTTCTAGCTTCCTGGGCTGAGATAAGCCACCCCCAAACACCAACAGGACTCCTTGCTCCAAGCCAGAAGGGGGTGCTATCACTGCCCATGGTAAGTTAGCTTTTGGGGCGAATGGCTATATATATTACAGGCAATCCTTGGCTTAATGACCACAATTCTGAATCCCATTGTTCCTAAGTGAGACATTGTGCTACAAGGGAGTTTTAGGCCCAATTTACAACTTTTTTCCTTGCTACCTTTGTTAAGTGAATCACTGCAGTTGTTGAGTTAGTAACACAGTTGTTAATTTAGCCTGGCTTCCATATATATATGTATTGTGTCACAACCCTTGGTATGCCCAAATATGGGAGGGAGCATACTGCTTCCCTTTCTGTCTTTCGGCTCATCCTAGGAGCCATCCAGGCAGAAAGCCATTTTTTTATGTTGCCTTTGTTACCTTTGTGTTGCATTTGTGCTGATTTGTCCTTTATTTATTTATCAGCACAAATGCAACACAAATGTAACAAAGGCAACATAAAAAATGGCTTTCTGCCTGGATGGCTCCTAGGGTGAGCCGAAAGACAGAAAAGGGATATATAATATCAATTCCTTGTCAGGTTACAAAATGTGATCTTCACGCTTCTGAATTTTAATCACATGCCATGGNTTCGTTTTACCAATAAAATCTTATTTAAAAAAAAGATGATAGATAGATAGATAGATAGATAGATAGATAGATAGATAGATAGATAGATAGATAGATAGATAGATAGATAGATAGATAGATAGATTAAATATGTGTACTAATCGTAGAATAATAGGGATTGAAGAACTGGCAAGAACAAGAATAGAAGTATTCTAAATGTATAAATGATTGTAATTAGTTCTAAAATTGTATACGGAGATATTGAATAGGAGAATGAAGGGTGACATTTTGATTTAATTAAGGAAACATGAATAACAAAGGAGGTGGAAAACACATCTTTGAACATTATAGTGATATGAAAGGGGGGAAAGTTAAAATAGGGATAAAAAATAAAGGGGGAAAATAGCAATTATATATCAATATGTTAAGATGTGCAAAAGAGAAAAAAGAAGGTTTAGTAATGAAGGGTGATAATAAAAAGGATGTATAAATAAGAGGAAATAACGGAAATGAAATGTAATATTTAGGAGTAATAAGATTATGTCTACATGTACTGTAATACCCAGATAATACACCATTCACACATTGATAGGTATAAAAAACACAGAAAAAATAAAAATTTGATTGGAAAAAAAATAAACTTCTTCTTATGCACAGTAGTAAAAAAAAAAAATTGCTTCTGCGCATGCGCGGAAGCAAATAACAAAATTGTGATTGAACAAAATCGCCGATTGAACCAATTCAGGGGCGTGGCCAGCCGAGTCACTATCTACTCAGCCGAACCAGTCCAAACTGGTAGGAACTCACCTTTGCTCTGTAGCCTCTAACAATCCGGATCAATCCAGAACTCTGGTATCGGCTGCAGAGGCCTTCAGGAACTTGCAGTGGTCTTGCCAACCTTGCCAGCTGCGGAAGAAATGGGTTGGCAAGGCAAGTGTCGGGGGTGCGCGAGGCCTGGCTGCAACTGTCCAAATGTACTGTATTTTTCAGAGTATAAGATACACCAAGATTTTGAAGAGGCAAATTAAAAAAAAATGTTTTGCACTCTGCAGACCTTCCAAAAAAGGGGGCGTTTTTTTTTTTTTGCCAAAACAGGCCTGATTTTTGACAAAAAGGGGGCATGCATAGGCTTTAAAAGACTTGTGGAGTGCTACTGGGGGCTGGAGGGGGGCAAAAATGAGCAAAAAATGGCCCAGGTATCACTCCAAGCGCCGTCTGAAATCCCATAGGGTCCATNTTGCCAAGTTTAGCTGGCTGAGGAATTCTGGGAGTCGAAGTCCACACGTCTTAAAAGTGGCCACTCCTGCCTTGAGCAGGGGGTTGGATGAGAAGACCTCCAAGGTCCCTTCCAGCCCTGGGACTCTATGCTTCTAGAGATGTCTAGGATGGGGAGACCCACAACGGGAGGGGTTTGCAAAAGGGGAGCTGGGCCTCCAAGCCCCTCCCACGTTGACCTTGAGCCAACGATGAGATGCCACTGCTCAAAAGCATGCGCAGAGTGCCGAAGGATGGCAAGAGACCTAACCCAGCATTGCCAGGGTTGCCAAAAAGAGCTCACACTTCACACAAGTGGGTATCCTTCTCCTCTCCACTTACCGGTTCTGTCCAATTTGGTCGCCTCCTCGTCCGCCTCCTTCTGGGCCGTGCAGCGGTACCCCTTCTTCATCAGCAGGTTGCAGAAAAGGATGCCGAGCAAACCCATAATGCAGAAGACGGGGACGATGGCGAGCACGGCGTACTGCGTGGCGCTCTCGTCCGGCTTCCCATCCCGGGTGCCGTTCAGCACCAATTTATCTCGGTGTCTCGGGGAAGCCTCGGCATTTCGGGTCAGGCGGGCTGCCCGTTTTCTGGAGCCTTCGAGAAAAAGGTTGGAAAAGGTCAGCGAGAAGACCTCCTTGTTGATGGGCCCTCAATCAATTTTTGGCTGCGAGGGAATGTAGCTAGTCCTCGGCTTACAACCATTCGTGACCGTTGTAAGTCGAGGGCTACCTGAGTGGATAGCCGTCGACGTACGATTGAGCCCAAAGTGTCTGTGGCTCAGTGAGACATTTGCTAAGCGAGCTTCGCCCCATTTTATGACCTTTCGTGCCACCGCCGTTAAGTGAATCGCTGCAGTTGATAAGTCGGCAAACCCAGTTGTTAAGTGAACCTGGCTTCCCTCATGGACTTTGCTGGCCAGAAGGTTGCAAAATGACTGAAACGGTCATAAGTATGAACCAGTTTGCCAAGCGTCTGGATTTGGATCGGGGATGTTGCAAAGGTCGTAACTGTGAAAAACGATCCCCTTTTTGTAACTTTGAACGGTCACTAAACGAATGGCTGTAAGTCAAGGACTGCCTGTAGGGAAAGGCTTCTGGAAACATCTCAGCTTCCTGTAATATCTCCCATAAGGAAAAGGATTGGATTCAGTGATAGGAAAAAAAGCAATGATGAAATCCAGGCGATTAAGTTTCCTAAAAAAAGCCCTAATTGATTCATGAGTCTCGAGCCAAGTTTCAAAGGAAAACCAGTCATTTATTAGGAGCCCCATTTGGCAAGGCCTTTTTGCGGTCAGATCTGAGTCTCATTTGAATCGAGACAATTCCGACATCCGAAAACAACTGGGAAGCCAAGAAGGGAGAATGCCAGAGAGGACAATTCAATGCGCTCCCTGCCTTAACAGGTTCACACCGCCTGCGGCAACCTCTCTCCTTCCTTGAAACCCCCCGTTTCTCTCTCCCCGCTGAGGTTTTCGGCATGTCACCGATCTAGAGGTAGCATTCAGACGGTTCGGATCGGCTGAACTGGTAGCAAAATCATGGGTGAACCCAACCACCCATCCTGGCTCTGTGGCCTCCTATTTAGGCACATTTCTGAGGCCAGGCACATGCGTGGAAGGGGTGCGTGCCAGTGCTGGTTTCCTATCAGTTCGGAGCGGTTCGGCCGAATCGGTAGTGGTTTTGCGGACTGCCACACCCCTGAACCAATTCTTGCTTTTTGCTTCTGCACATGCGCAGAACAATTTTTACTGCTCTGTGCATGCACGCGCAGCGCACAACAAGCACGCGCGCACACACGGCGCACCCATCAGCAAACCAGCAGTAGAAACTGCCGGAAGCCACGCCTGGTTCACGCATGCGGCGAACTGGTGGTAACAAAATGTGAAACCCACTGCTGCCCCTATCACCTAAAATGTTGGGACTCCTCCCTCCTTCAGTGGCGGGAATGGTTTTGGGAAGAGGTGCACCCCGTTATGTAAACTGGGGAACTTTCTCCCGTCTCTGAGCAACTGATTAGTAAGGATTAAGATTGGATTCAGTGATAGGAAAAAATGCAATGATGAAATCCAGGCGATTAAGTTTCCGAAAAATGCCCTAATTCAGTATAAATGACTGGTTTTCTTTTGAAACTTTGCTCGATACTCATGAATCCTAATACCGAAAAATACCCTAACACCCTAATTGGTTCATGAGTCTCGAGCCAAGTTTCAAAAGAAAACCAGTCATTTATTAGGAGCCCCATTTGGCAAGGCCTTTTTGCGGTCAGATCTGAGTCTCATTTGAATTATAGCTGAACTTTACCCCTGTTTCTTCCCTCCCCTCAATCTGTGTCACAAATCACATTCCCCAATGAGGTGCACCCCTCCCAAGCCTGCTGCGGTAATCGGAGATCCAACATTCGCTGAAAGTGTGCGTGGAATGTGCTCCCCCACCCCATTCTCTCACCATGACAACTTTAGGAGTTGACAGAAGGAAGAGTTAAAATCAATCTGAATGCAGGTGGTCCGGCTCATTCAGTGACCGCTCGAAGTTACGACGGCATTGTAAAAAAGTGACTTGTGACTGTTTCTCACACTTAACAACCGTTGCAGCAACATCCATGGTCATGTGATCAAAATTCAGCTTCTTGGCAACTGACTCACATTTATGACGGTTGCAGCGTCCTTGTTTCATGTGATTCCGCTTTTGCGACCTCCTGACAAGCAAAGTAAATGGGGAAGCCAGGTCCGCTTAACGACCGTGCAACTTAACTTAAGGGCTGCAGTGATTCACTGAGCAACTGCGGCAAGAAGGGTTGTAAAATGGAGGAAATCTCACTTAACAACTGTTTTGCTTAGCAAGGGGAATTTTGAGCTCAATTGTGGTCGTAGGTCGAGGACTGCCTTTGCTTGAAAGGGCCAATTCTGACGGTGCACAGTGAAAGCCGGCCTGAATGAACGGGCAGCCCCTTCCCCAGCCAAATTTGCTCTCTCACCTTGGCATCCAGGTATCCCTCTGGGGGCAGACAGGCAAGGGAGGCAGCTACTCCTCGGATCCGTCTCCCCCTCTGGACTGTAGTACCTGCAAGAAGCAGAAGGCGGAGAGGTAAGAAAAACCTCCGTGGAC